GAGTCCGTAGGAAGTGATAGCCCCTGAGAAAGACCAGCACCCTGTGTCAGTGGAAACCTCCCCTCACTCGGGCTGGGCTGGGTCCCCAGATGTTGCTCCTGACCCTTCCTGGTAATACACAGAGGGAGAGCTTGGCTCCCCTTGTGAGAACGGATCTGTCTCAGGAGGAAAACATGTAGGCAGGAGAGGGCTGGGTCCTGGGCCATCTGTAAAAGCTGCTGAGATGTGCTTGTTTCTGAGCTCTGGGTTGGGATTCTGGGGAGACATTGTCACTGGAAGCTTCAGGGGAGTATGTTTAAAAATCTTTTTAAATGTGGTTTTGAGTTGTAGATGCACACACTGCCTTTAACGTATTTGTTTTTATGTGGTGCTGAGGATCGAACCGATGCCTCACATGTGGGTGCAAGCAAGTGCTTTACCGCTGAGCCACAACCCCAGCCCTCAGGGGAGCTTTTCTAAGGCAGCTGGGAAGCACCCCGCCAGAGGGGGAGTTGCTCTGAAGCTGCACAGAACCTTGGGAGTGTTCAGACACCCTGGCTGGGGGACCTCCAGTAAGGAGGAGAGGAGCAAGTACAGATCAGGGATGCTTCCTGTGTCTCCATAACACTTCACTGAAAATTACAGGGAGATCCGAAGCACATCTGTAGTAAAGTGTTATTTAAAAGGGGTGGAGTCTGCTATGATTCTCTTTGTTTTGCTGTGGATTTCAAATACGACAGTAGAAAAACCCTGTCAAACTGGAAGACAGAAGAGAAAGTGGGTTGTAAGTGCCACTGCCCCCTGCCCATTTCCCGCCTTTCCCCAGTGCGTCTCCCAGCCAAAATGCACCAAGCCTAGGGGCAGGCTGGACTTGGAGTCTCCCAGGAATGCATAGATCCATGAGGAGTGGGCCAAGAAGCCCAAGGGGTGCAATATGCCCAAGGGGTACAGCCTTAGCCAGTAGCATCAGGAAGTCTAGGGGAGGCCTGGACTTTGCTCTGTCCCAGGAGGCAGGTTTAGCTGTTTTGATGTAATACACAACAAGGGCGACCTACAAAGGGAAGAGCCCTGGTATCCTGGTATCCTAAAATGAGATCAACCACCTGAGGTGATGGGTGATTCCATGTGCTGGTTGGTTTCTCTTGGAGGGTAGGGTGGGGATTGTTGTGGTCAGGATATAACTTCAAG